GGGACCAGCAGTACATCGAGGTCGCCCGCATACTGGTGGCCAAGCTGCCAGTGCCGGTCAGACGTCAATTTTGCCGGCGGTTGGCCAAGGAGTCTCAACGAGGCGACCCAGCTCTGTCGGAAAAAGACTCAGTTTTCTCCAAAGGCTCAGAATCCCGTCAAAAGGTGCCCATCTTGGCGCTTCTAGTGAGCCATCTGGAGACAGAGCGGGGCGCTGCAGGCTGGTGGAGATATCTGCAGTCACCGGAGCAGAAGGAGGCGGCCGGAGCCAAAAGGAGGGACCACAGCCCACAGTCCTTCCCAGCAAAACGGTTCGTGAAGAAAATTTTGGTGGCAGCGGCTACCGAATGCCAGATTTGCACCAGCCGCGGTCACCGGACAGAAGACTGCAAAAGTCGGACGCCGGAAGAGCGTAATAGGATTGCGCGTCGGGCGGGCCTCTGTCTGAAATGCCTGCAACATCTCTTCACCCCAGGCCAGGCCTGCCCGAACGCCAAGCCATGTTCGCAATGCGCAGGCCAACATCACCAGGCGGTGTGTGTGGCACCGTCATCTCAGCCAGCAAAAGCACACTCAACCAACCACCGAAAAGGAGTGCACGTCGCCACCAACGAGACCAACTGCCGGTCCGCCCGAGTGTACATGTCTACAATTGCCGCGGTAGTGCACTCGGGTGGCCAGCAAGTACCCGTAAGAGTACTGCTTGACTCGGCGGCTGAGACGTCGCTCGTTACAGAAGAGGCGGTACGGCGGACAGGAGTGAAGTGTTGTGCCGCCGACACGTTGACCCTTACTGGAATCACAGAGGGTCTGCGTCGCGCCGACAGGCTGGCCCAGTTTACTTTGGCGGCCGCAGACGGGTCCTTCAGCATTGACATGGCGGCCTACGTAGCTCCAAAGATAACGTCAGCCAAAGTGATGACGCCAGCCAGTCATCTCATCAGCGCGGCAAGGGCGAAGGGCATCAACCTCGCGAGACCAGCTCAAGGACGGCAGACGGTGGACATTCTCATTGGCCAGGACTGGCTGTTCCCATTCCTAGCCCCGGAGATCGTGCCCCTAGGTCCGTTCATCGGCGCCCTTCGAACGCGCCTGGGCTGGTACGTCGCCGGGCGGGAAGGCGCAGCTGACGCTCGAGAAACAGTCTCCGTGTTGGAGTGCCAAAAGCTGTGCCAGGACCTGGCGAAGATCTACGAGTACGTCGAGCCGCAGGAGATGACGGCCAAGCAGTCTATCGGCACGCCAGTAGAGATCCTCTACGATGAGAAGCAGGCCGTGTACACGGTCGGCCTGCCTAAGAGGGCAACAGACAAGCTGGCGGACAATTTCCGCAACGCCTGGGCGCAGGTCATGGCTCTCCGTAGGAAACTGAAAGCGACAGGGCAGTACGACGCCTACGACGAAGTCATCAAGGAGTACATCACAAAGGGCTACGCCGAAGTGGCCCCAAAAGGGTACCCGAGCAGCGGCACCTACACGATCCCACATCACGCCGTGTGGAGAAAGGAAGCGACAAAGACTAAGTGTCGCGTCGTCTTTAATGCCAGCTCGACGGTGCCAGGGCAACTGTCACTCAACCAGTGCCTGGAGAAGGGAGAACCGATAAACGCCGACATCTGGGCGGTCACAATGCGCTTCCGGCTAGCGCCGATTGTCTTGGTGACCGACCTGGTGAAGGCGTTCTCTCAGATCCAGATCAAAGAAGAGGATCGCGACTTGCTGCGCTACTTGTGGTTTGACGGACCCGACGACGCATCTCCAACAGTCTANGCTAGCGCCGATTGTCTTGGTGACCGACCTGGTGAAGGCGTTCTCTCAGATCCAGATCAAAGAAGAGGATCGCGACTTGCTGCGCTACTTGTGGTTTGACGGACCCGACGACGCATCTCCAACAGTCTACCGCATGAAAAGTGTCATCTTCGGCGCCATCTGTTCACCGCACATTCTGGGAGCAGTGCTCCAGGACCTGACACATCGCTTTCGCGAGGAGTTCCCAGAGGTAGCGGAGCAGATGAGCCGCTCCATGTACATGGACGATGGCATCTTCGTGGCAAACAGTCCAGAGCAGGCGATAAAGTTGATGAGTCAGGCTGAAGCGTTCTTTGCCAAGGCCTCCTTTGCTCTTCACCCTTGGCTGACTGACAGCAAGAGCGTGATGACGGAGGAACGACAGTTTGGCTGCCTGGACGAGGACCACAAGTGCCTCGGCTTGAAGTGGCACCCGGGAGCGGCCGAGTTTCGAGTGAAGCCGGTGACAGCAAGTCTAGGCGAGGGAAAGACTACCAGACGGCAAGCGCTGGCGGTCTTATCAAAGTTTTACGACCCGGTCAGTTTGTTTGCCCCGCTGAAGACCGCCATCCGTCTGTTCATTCGCGACATGGCGTCAGCAGGGGTAAACTGGGACGACGCCATTTCGGAAGACGAGGCCAAGAGCCTGAAAGGACTGCTGAGACAGCTGGAACAAGTGGCAGAGGTCTCGGTTCCGAGAGGTCCTCGAGAAAAGCAGCTGATCGCCGTCCACGTCTTCGGAGACGCCAGCCCGCAGGCGTACGGAATTGCCATCTACCTGGCCGACGCAGCCGGAGAAGAGAGGATGCTGCTGGGCGCACAAGTGAAGCTAGCGCCGAAGAAGTTTGTCACGCGCCTGAAAGAAGAGCAGGTGAGAGCGACCCCCAGCGTCACTCTTCCCCGACTGGAGCTGATGGCTGCGGTGATGGCGGCCCGTCTGACTGACCAGCTGCTTCTCCTAATGCCCAAAGAGACGCCGGTAGCCTTCTACACCGACTCAGACATCACTTTGAAGCGGATTCAGGGGGATCCCAACAAACAGGAGCCGTTTGAGATGAGGCGGCTCCAAATCATTGGCGAGTTGTCGGATGTCGCGCAGTGGCACCACATCACCACAAAGCAGAACCCGGCCGATCTGCTCACGAGGGACTGCACCACCCGGACCTGGCTGAAGGACCCGCTGTGGTGGAAAGGTCCGGACGCCACGATCGCTCCACTTGCAGTGCCTCGAGAACGTGTCCTCCGTCAGATTTGTGTCTCGCAAGTTAGTGATCTGACGGAGGAGGAGGTAAGTATGCTGCAGGAATCGTACTCGAGCGCACTGCAAAAGATGAAAGAGCGGGTGCTGAAGGAGACCTCGGAAGGTCAAACGGTGCCGAACCTCAACGAAGGGAAAGAGCGGCCTCTGGATGCGGAGCGTTACGCGGCCCTGCGGCTGATGAAGCTCTTGCAACAACAGCAATTCCCGCGAGAATTAGAGCGCTTGACAGCCGGTCG